CACCGGGATGTGGATCCAGACCCTGGGACTGCCCAGGGGACCCCAGGATGTGGATCTAATCCCCAGGAGCATCAGGGAACCCCGGGATGTGGATCTAATCCCTGGGAGCACCAGGGAACACTGGGATGTGTATCTAATCCCTGGGAGCACCAGGGAACACTGGGATGTGGATCTAATCCCTGGGAGCACCAGGGAACACTGGGATGTGGATCTAATCCCTGGGAGCATCAGGGAACCCCGGGATGTGGATCTAATCCCTGGGAGCACCAGGAGGCACCGGGATGTGGATCTAATCCCTGGGAGCACTGAGGGACCCCGGGATGTGGATCTAATCCCTGGGAGCACCAGGAGGCACCGGGATGTGGATCTCATCCCTGGGAGCACCAGGAGACACCGGGATATGAATCCAGTGGCCGGGAAGGCAGCTGGGGGACCCTGGGATCTGGGTCCATCCCTGGAGAGCGCCGGGATGTGGAGCCGGCCCCGGGAGACCCCGGGATGTGGATCCATCCCCAGGGATCACTGGGGGACACCGGGACGCAGCTCCGTCCGGGAGCGGCTCCGGGAGCGCCGCTGACTCCGTGTCCCGTCCGCAGGTACACCATCTTCAAGGACCACGTCACGCTGGGAGACTGTATCCTTACCCGGGATCCCGCCGGAATTCCCTGGGAATCTCCCCAGGGAAGCTGAGGGCTCCGCTGCTTCCAGCACGGAAAACGGCGGCCCGAGCTCTGATTCCCGGCAGCAGCCTTGGCTCGGAGGCTCCGCTCCGGGCGCTTCRTTCGGTGCCGTTTGCCTAAACCAAAATGCTCCCAAATGAGCCCAAAAGCAGCGTGGGGCTCCATGCCCAGGATCTTCCTTGACTCGCGCTGCAGATGAGATCCACGACGGGATGAACCTGGAGCTCTACTACCAGTAGCCGCAGCGCCCATTCCCGGCCCCATTCCCGGCCCCATTCCCGACCTGTTCCCGCATCCCAAAACGATGCCGCTTCCCGTTTTTCCCGCTTGTGCACCCGGAAAGCCAGGAGCCCCGGCTGCACCAGCCCCCCTCGTGCCCCATGGTGGCTCCGCAGCCCCCGGGGTGTTTTTTTGCCCCTAATTTCTAATAAATCGGTCCCTTTACTCGGCTCTGCAGTAGCTCTATGGGAACGGTGGGGGCGTGCGCGTTCCGGTCTCTTTTGTGCCTCCGCGGCCGCCGTCCGCTCCGCTGTCACGTGCCCCCCCCGCACAGCACCGCAATCGCTTCCGGGACCAACGCCACACCGCACCAGGGCGGGAGCGGCGCGCGCTTCCGCCAATGGCCCTGCGCGCTGGCGCGCGGGGGCGTGGCGTGGCGTCGCGCTGGGCCAATAGAAGCGGAGCGGGGGCGGGGCCACCTTCCCCGCGGCGCCAATGGGGGGCCGGGCCGGGTGAGGCGGGTGCGGGAGCGGGTGAGGGAAGATGGCGGAGGAGGAGAAGCTGCCCGCGGGCTGGGAGAAGCGGATGAGCCGCAGCTCCGGTACGGGGGGGGGAGCTGCGTTTTGGGGGGATTTGAGGGGTTTTGGATGCACAGTCTGGCGGGGAGGGGCGCTGGGTTTTGGGGGGATTTGAGGGGTTTTGAGGGCCTAGCTTGGCGGTGGGGGG